CATCGCCTTGAGCTTTTTTGCAAAGCAAAACCTCGGTTTGGGACCTTGGCAGAAAAGCTGATTAAAATGCCTGCCCAGCAGGTAGTGTGCAGCTGGAACTATCCTAGACTTCAAGGCTATTCCTGCTTCACTCCTGACTACATGTCTCTATGTTTTAAAAAAGTAGATTAGAGTAATACGTTGACTCAGTGTTCTCATTTTATACATTTTATCTTTAATTTATATGCTCAGCTAGGTCTGTTGCTAACTTAGAACTTAACATGCTTATCTTAAAAAAACTATATAATTGTCTGTTCTTGTAGACAGAATTAGGTAAGGTTCCCCTAAAAACCTCAAAAAATAAACTGTATACATAATTCTCTAACAAAAGAGACCTGTTTACTGTACCAATATATACTGATACAGGACTTCACTTGGGGTCTCAGCCAGCAGAAAGCTGATGACCCCTTGACTCCCCCATCTATTAAACTGCTCTTTGTCTCCATCTCAATAATTTCTCCGTCTATAATATATCATCTCTTTATTTCCTATTATTTCCACATCCCTTGTGACGATCCTGCCTTGGGACCTGTTTGTGCTGGGAGGCTGGCCAACTCCCGGCAGGAGTGGAATTAAGCCAGTGTGATGGTGCGGCAACCATCCAGCCAGGATGCTGGAGACTTTCATTCCACCATTAAGCAAATATTTCCTGAGCACCTGTATGCTAGGCATATTCTAGGTCCTGGGGATGCATCTTTTCCTTACTTGCCCATACTTGTCTTTCAGTGGTGTCATTTGGCAGTTTTTCTCCCAGGTAGATTAGAAGCTACTTGAGATGATGATTGGATCATCTGTCGATACCTCCACATTGCCCAAGCCAAGTACTGAGCACATTCTAGGTGCTCAGTAAATACCACTGTGGGAGGGGGCTTTCCAGAGCCATGCCACACCCAGACTAGCCCGAGGCCTTGGCCCTGCTCATTCTGGAGCTCCCAGTACAACCCTAGTGCCCCAGTGGCCGCCTTTCCTGATGGATGCTAGAAAGTTGGCCCCTCCAGGGCGGGGGTGGGGAGCTGAAGGTCCACATTGTAGGGCCCAGACATGGCCCCACAGAGGATTCGGGTTATGGTCTGAGTCACAGCCCCTGGCCCTGTGGACTCTGATGGCCCATCCTGGTGTGTTTGTGTGTGCTTTCTGCTTCTGCCTTAAATTTACCTCCACATTCTTCTATTCCTGGTTGTCCAGGGTCCCTTGGTCACCAATGGGCATTGCCTGGTGACACAGCATGGCCTTCCCAGGGAGGGCATCTCTTCTGCAGGCAGTGGGGCATGGACCAGGTGCTGCTGGCTTCAGCCCCTTATCCCCTCTTTCTCTCAGAGCTCAGTGTGCCTCTTGCTGTGCCCTACCTGGACGAGCCCCCCACTCCACTCCACTTCTACCGGGATTGGGTCTGTCCCAACAGGCCCTGCATCATCCGCAATGCCCTGCAGCACTGGCCGGCCTTCCAGAAGTGGTCCCTCCCCTACCTCAGGTGGGAGCTGCTCTGGGGTGGAGCATGGGCAGTGATGACTGGCATCTGGGTGTGAGCCAAGTTTTCATTCCTCCAGAGCCACAGTGGGCTCCACAGAGGTGAGTGTGGCTGTGACCCCAGATGGTTATGCAGATGCTGTGCGAGGGGACCGCTTCGTGATGCCTGCTGAGCGCCGCCTGCCCCTGAGCTGCGTGCTGGACGTGCTAGAGGGCCAGGCCCAGCACCCGGGAGTGCTCTATGTGCAGAAGCAGTGCTCCAACCTGCCCTCTGAGCTACCCCAGCTGCTGCCTGATCTGGAGTCCCATGTGCCCTGGGCCTCCGAGGCACTGGGTGAGTGCAGGCAGGTGGACCCAGGCCCTGGGCAGGCAGGGAAGAGGTGGGAAGGAAGGGGCCAACCTGCCTGTTCATTCTCTGCCTTTGGTGATGACTTGGCCTGGCCGGGGTCAGGTGCTGCCTCCTGAATGCTCAAGCTCCAGGCCTTGACTTAATAACAGGTGAACTACTGAAGATTGCAACCTTTCCTTCTGCCCCAGGGAGGGAGGGCTCCTTCCCCAAGCTTTCCCAACCTCTGCGGCTTCTCCCTGGTTCTCCTCCTTGGGCCTCCTTTGCCCCCGCCCAGGTTTCCGGTCTAGCATCACAGTGTGGTGGCTATCCCAGCCTGGCCTCCTAATGCCCTCTGCCCTGCAGGAAAGATGCCTGATGCTGTGAACTTCTGGCTGGGAGAGGCAGCTGCAGTGACATCTTGTACGTGTCAGGAGAATGCAAAAGTGGGGAAGGAGCAAGTTGGGGCAGAGGGAGGGAAGGTGAGGCAGCAGTAGAAGGTTGGGCCTGGATGGAAGTTGGGCTGACTGTTCTCTACAGTTTCATTTGGGCCTCTGGGACTTGGGCACTGGTGACAGCTGAGCTCGGGGCCTGTGCGCATAGTTCTGAAACGCACACCAGAGTCCCTGGCATCTCCTCGAGCCTGTTGGCTCTGTGCACTCTTCTTTTGCACCATAGGTGGTCTTGCAGGGTGGGGCTGTGAGCATGACAGTTTACCCCCAATGTTCCCACTTCATACTCTGTCCCCTGGGCCTTTTCTGTTGGCAGTGCACAAGGACCACTATGAGAACCTCTACTGTGTGGTCTCGGGAGAGAAACACTTCTTGTTACATCCGCCCAGTGACCGGCCCTTCATCCCCTATGGTAGGGGGTGTGGCCTGCAGGGACTGAGGAACAAGTGGCCCAAGGTAGAGGGAGGTCAGCGAGAGCCCTGTGCCCGCTGGTGTCCCGGTCTGAGGTGTGGCCACAGCGTCTCCACTGCACCAGGGTCCCTGACCCTGTTGTCTTTGTACCCAGGGAGCATGAAGACTGGCTGGGGGAGGGGAGGGTCTGGCACACTCCAGGCCATTTGAGATTCCCCACACCCTTCTCCCTTGGGCTTCAGAGCTGTACACACCGGCAACCTACCAGCTAACTGAAGAGGGCACCTTTAAGATGGTGGATGAAGAGGCCATGGAAAAGGTGCCTGTCCTGGTCTTGGGCTCTAGGGGGGCTGTAGGGAGGAGGAAGGGCGAGCGCCTGGGCTCTGAGGAGTAGGCATGAAGGATCTAGGGAGGTGGCACCTTGCTCTGACCTGTAAGAGCAGAAGTCCGTGAGTCTGGGGCCTTTGAGTGCCGAGCAGAGCAAGGCCTGTGGTATTTAGCTTTGGAAGGCACAGAGCCTGAAGGCCTGGGGGTCTTGGGGCCTGCTCCTTGACATCTGATCTGTTCCCAGGTGCCCTGGATACCACTGGACCCCTTGGCTCCAGACCTGGCCCGGTACCCCAGTTACAGTCAGGCCCAGGCCCTCCGCTGCACGGTGCGGGCCGGCGAGATGCTCTACCTGCCGGCCCTGTGGTTCCACCATGTTCAGCAGTCCCACGGCTGCATTGCGGGTGAGGAGCTGCCTAGGCCACCCTGCCAAGGCCCAGCAGGGCATCTGGGGAGGAGGTTCGGGAGGCTCTGGGTCAGAAGAAGGACTTTCGTGCTCAGGTCACTGTTCTCTCCACAGTGAATTTCTGGTACGACATGGAGTATGACCTCAAGTACAGTTATTTCCAGCTGCTTGACTCTCTCACCAAGGCTTCGGGCCTCAACTGATGGATCCCTGGTGAACACTGCCAGGCACAACTCGGGGAGGTCGAGCCGTCCCTGGCCGGGCTGACGTTGGAGACAGCCTGGAGCTTGAGCACATGTTGGCTGCTGGCCCAGGGTGCGACTTGGGTTAGGATCAGCTTTGGAAGATCTCGGGATGAGGTCAGGAGGACTCAGACGTGCCAGGCAGGTCTGGGTGAGGGCTCCCCGGAAGTTGCCACAGACGTGAACAGGAGTGGGGATCAGGAACAGCAGCGCCTCTCACCAGCGCTGTGACTGTGGGCGAGTCACTGCCTCTCAGGGCGTTGGTGTCTGTCTGTAAAACGGAAGTAATCATGGTTCTGCCTCATGGAGCTGTCGTGGGGTTGGAGGGGCTGCCTGCGAGGGCCAGCACCGGCAGGCACAGAGGAAGTGTTCAATAAAAGGTAACTGTGAGTCACACGTTCTGATTCTCTCGCAGTTGCCTTCTTGATCTGTTGAGGGCCTGAAGGTTTGTTCGGGTTAAAATTTCAGGGTAACCCTGACTGGGGGTGAGGGCTGGATCCAGGCCTGGACCTAAGGAGCTGTCTGCCACCCAAATTCTTCTGTTCAGTCTTGTAACTTTGTGACCAGACCTTTTTGGCTCAGGGCTGCTGAAGCTATTCCTAGCTTTGCCCTGGCCTGGTTTACTGTCCTACCCCAGTTCCAGGGCAGCTGGTGGGGCTGGGTGCCCTGGGGGGCAACCCCTGTTTCTCTCCCACATCAGGCACAGGCAGGCAGGACGGAAACCCCTGCCCCTCCTGGAGCTGCCCCTCTGAGGATGGGGTTGCTCTTTACACTCTGACCTCCGCCACAAACTAAGCCCTGGGGAAGAGCCCCCTGCCCCCTAGTGCCATCCCACAGGCCTCATCCCCAGCCACCCAGCTCCAAGGGTGGAGGTGGCCCAGCACATGGCTTTGAAGGGTTTTATGTGGTGGCCACTCCCTTGCCAGGTTGTGATGGGGCCTGGGTGCTCATCTCAGACTGGCCGAGCGCTTCAGTCAGGACTGGGCATTCCTGTCGTACTGGCATCCGGGCTTGCGAAAAGCCTGCGGGGCACTCGGCTCTTCTCTTTGCTGCTGCTCGGGGCCCACACCCTGCCTGCCTTCTGCTCAGCCTCCAGCAACAAGCTCTCCTGGGAGCCCCCTTCCTCTGAATCGGGGCTGGGTAGGGGAGGCCCGGATGGCGATGGCTGGAGAGTGCGGGTCTTCCAGGGAGCTGGGGCGGGGTGTCAAGGCCCCACCACCATGGTGCCTGTGGCTCTAGTATAGGTTTGAGGTACTTCATTTCCTGGACAGGTGGCTGGTCCAGTAGTGGGTGTGGGGCTTGGGTGGGAGGGACCCGGGAGGAGCTCCAGGTCAGCTGTGACACCGCCGGCTCTGGTTAAAACTCGTGACAGTCCTTGATCCTGCGCCATCATTCCTGCTCCTGAGGACTCAGCCTCATGGCTCTGGTAAGGCCCAGCAGGGCACTGGGCACCACCCTGACCCCTGGCCCCCACCTGGGGCCTGGTTAATGCTGTTTCTTGGAGGAGCTACGGTCGGCTGCTGGTGTAGAGGGGGCTGTTTGGAGACCACAGGACCAGGACAGTGAGCAGAAGCCAGGGGAGAGGAGGGTCCTGAGTTCTTTCTGCCTTGAGAATGGGCTCCGGGCAGAGCTCCCTGGCACCGTGGACTTGGGCTCTAGGGATTCAGAGGCTCTCAGCTGCCATCCTGGGGCCCCAGAAGGAAGTGGCTGCTCTGGTGCTCCTGACTCAGCCATGTGGGGGCCCCAGGGCTAACACACATGGGGGAGCTTCCCCGCTCTGCCTTTCACACAAGTCGCTCCCTGGGCCTGGGCTGACGGAGCCCTTCTGGAGGCATGGCTGAGGGCCAGAAGGAAGGCCCAGCTGGCACAGGCTTCTCCAGCCTTGCACACCTGCCAGCCCACGTTCCCAGAACTGGGGGTGTGGGTTTGAAGGGAGCTAGCTGGAGGCCATCTTCAGCCTGACCTTGCAGGGCCTGGAGCCTGGTGACCTGTGGGCAGGCTGAGCTAGTAGCTGCTGTCCCTGCCCAGCAGAGCTTGTTGCCAGGATGGCCCTCTGCCTGGGGGTGGAATGGTAGGGAGCCGCTCAGTTGGGGGCCCAGGCCCTGACATGCCACTTCCCTTCCCTCAACAGTGTATGTCCCCTGCCACTGAGGACCGGCCTCAGTGCTTAGTAAGGGTGTGATCTGGGGATGTGGGGCGGAAAGACAAGAGGACATCACAGCTAGGAAACAGGCAGGCAGATGTGAGGCATACATCTGGAGCTAGCCTGACTGGGTTCCAATCCCAATTCTGGACCTCAGGCAGGTGGTTACATAACCTCTCTTGTGCTTCAGTTTCCTTGTGGAGTTGGTCATGACAGTGATCATAAATAGTGCCCACGCATAGAGCTGTGTGCTAAATGAGTTAATACACGCAAAGCCTTGGCCCACAGCAGGACACGAAGCGTTATGTAAGTGCCGGCAGGTACCGTGGAGATGCCAGGTCTCCTGTCAACTCCAAAGTCTCATGGGGTGGAGGACAGGCCTGGGGCTGAGTGGGCTGGATTCTTTTGGTTCAGGATGAGGCTTTGAGGGAGTGCCCGGGTATCCCCTGTGGCCCCTGTCACCTCTGGCCCCATCAGCCCACAGCAGGTCTGCCCCTCTCCCTCTGCAGGCAAAGGTGCCTGGGACCTGCCTGCTCACAGTTCGTGTGCTGCAGGCGCATGGCCTTCCCTCCAAGGACCTAGGTGAGCTGCCCACTTCCCTGGCCCCGTGCTGGGCTGAGGGAGGAGAAGGGTACTGCTGCTGGACTCAGAGGAGTAAAGCCGGTGGGTGTGGCCTGGGAGAGGGTGCTGAGCGGGGGTTCAGGGTGCAAAGTGGCAGCTGGGGCTCTGCTTCTATCCCTGCCGCCTCCCCACCCAGCCCACCCCCCACAGCTCTCAAGGAGGTGGAAGGAAGTGGACTGGGTGGCTTGCTGGGAAAGGCTCTGGACCATCACTGGGCACTTATTCTTCCTTCCCGCAGTGACCCCCTCCGACTGCTATGTCACTCTGTGGCTGCCCACGGCCTCCAGCAACAGGCTGCAGACACGCACGGTCAAGAACAGCAGAAGCCCCATCTGGAACCAGAGCTTTCGCTTCCGAATCCACAGCCAGCTCAAGGTGGGCCAGGCATCATCCCGGCCTGCTCACCATCCCCATCTGCCCGCTGTCCTCCCAGGCCCTCAATGCCTGCCCTGCTCACCTCCCCTTTCTAGAATGGTCTCTTTCCCTGTTCCCTTTCTAGAACATCGTGGAACTGAAAGTCTTTGACCAGGACCTGTTGACCAAAGATGACCCCTTGTTGTCAGTGCTGTTTGACGCGGGGATGCTGCGGGTTGGGGAGCTGCGGCGGGAGAGCTTCTCACTGAGCCCTCAGGCAAGGCTGCATTACCCCCTGCGGGGCCTCAGCAGGGTGTCCTCCTCGCCCTTTCTGACTGGCTTCTCTCTCCCCAGGGTGAGGAGCGGCTAGAAGTGGAGTTTCGGCTGCAGAGTCTGTGAGTCAGGGGACACGGGGCGATTCTGGTGGCAGCGCCGCCTCCTGGGGGAGACAGCGCCAGCACACTCCGATCTGGTGCCTTCCTGGTGGGGGCGAGAACCTGAGACTTGGTATCTTTCTAGGACAGACCGAGCGGAGCAGCTCGCCAGCAATGGCATCCTGGTGGTGAGTGTGGGACAGCCCCGGCTGTGGGCTGGGGTCCCCTGGGAACTCCTCCTTCATCTGCTCTTCTCCCTGGGCCTGAAGCTCTGGCCCACCACAACCTGGGTCAGGGGTAGAGCTGAGTTTGGGGGACCCTGGGGTTTTAGTTCATCAATGGAATATAGCGTCAAGCAAACGCTTGGTGACTCAGGGCCACAGTCATAAAGGCTGACGAGCAGGAACCCGGTGCTGGGAGGGTGGGCCCTGAATGGGAGGGGTCAGTGTCTGAGGGGCTTTCTAATGCTCAGGCCCGGGAACTCTCCTGCTTGCACGTTCACCTGGAGGAGCCAGGGGACCAGAAGGGTGAGTCCCTGACCCTTTGAGACAGCCTCAGCCCTCCGTCCATCTTCCCCCTGTCTGAGGGGCCCTGGTGGGGACCTTGCACTGGCCTCCTTCAGCTTCCAAAGGCAGGCGTAGCGGTTGGGCAAATCTACGCAGGGGTACCCCAGGACCTGAGCTTATCCCCTTCGTCTTCCTCCGAGGGGCTGTGGTGGGGGCTCCATGTCCTAGTCTTGGCCTGGGCCAGACCTCCATTTCAGGGGGACAGGGAAGGCCTCCAGGCCCCTCAGACAAGACGAGGGAGTCCACACACAGAGATTCCATTCCCAGCCTCTCTCCTCTGGTTCCTGTTTCCAGAGTCAGAGTGCAGAGTTGAGCTCGTGGTTCCCGGGTCCTTCGAGGGTGCACAGGAGGCCTCTGTGGGCACCAGCACCTTCTGCTTCCATTGCCCAGCCTTCTGGGAGCAAGAGCTGGATATCCATCTGCAGGTAGAGCGTCTCCCTCCCTCCAGGCGGGACCCCCCAGGACCTCCCCCCTCATCCCCTCAGTGCCTCCTCCCAGCCTGACTCTGCTCCCCCCGAGCCCCACATCCCCCATCATGCCCCGCATTCGGACCCCCTGGGCAGGGTGCACGGGCCCTGTCCCCTCCCTCCTGTTCTCAGCTGCTGCCAGCGGGGGTTGGTGAGGTCCTTGCTAGAAGAGGGAGGGTGAAGAGTCTCAGGTCTTCCTCCTCCCCACTGCAGGATGCCCCCCAGGAACAACTGAAGGTGCCACTGCAGGCCCTGCCCTCTGGCCAGGTGGTACGGCTCGTCTTCCCCACATCCCAGGTACTGGTCACTTGTCCAGAGGGGAGCTAGGTGCCGGGCTGGGGCCGGGCCCCGGGCCGTGAAGGGATCAGCCTGCTGCTGCAGCTGCTGCTCTCTGCGGGTCACGCACCGAGCAGGTGCGGGCAGGCTCTGGGGGGGAGTGTGGTCTGAGCAGCCCACCTTCTGGCTTCAAGCCTGGCCCCTGTGGAGACAGTTTGGGGCCTCGGAGCAAAGGGCCCTCATGGGGGTGCGCCTGGGGCCAGGGTGGGAGGAACGGAGCTGGGTGGAGGTGGCCAACCTTTGTGACTGGGGCCTTCATGGTTTTCAGGAGCCTCTGATGAGGGTGGAGCTGAAAAAAGAGGAAAGGTAAGAGCCGGCCAGGGCCCGGCAAGGCTGCAGGAAGGCAGCGGTGGGGGGAAGTTGTGCAGGGGTGGCCAGAGGTCGGGGGTCTGGCCTAAAGGAGTGAGGGGAAGAGACAGGCAGCTCACAGGACAGTCGCCACTCACCCTCTTCGAGATGCTGGGGGGAGCCCTACTTAACATGTGAAGCCAGAGCGGGGTGTGCCCCGCCCAGCGCCAGGCATGTGGGAAGCCCTGGATGAGTGGTTGGCTGGAAAACAGGAGGGGAGGTGAGGACAGTACCATGGTTTGAGGCAGAGGGGACAAGGAATCCCAGAGGGGAGACGGGAAATCATGTGCCTTTGGGTGGAAGCTGTTGTGGAAGGTCACCTTAAATGACCTTCATTGAGGACTCACTGCCCCCTGGTCCCCAACTCCTAGAGAGAAAAGCTTCTCACCAAGCAGGGATGGGATTGTTGGTCCTTCTTTCCTGTCCCCTCTGTGGTCATTTTGGGCTCAGTGAGGGAGTGAGGCTGAGACTTGGAGGTGGGATCCACGGTGTCAGGTCCTGCCCAGGAGCCGTCTGCACCTGAGACCCCAACCTTCCCTGTCCCGAGTCTGCTTTGCTGCATTCCCAAGTGTGTACACACATGGGTGCCGTCTTCTGTTCACACTCCACAGGTGTCAGACTTCAGAGTGTCACGACGTAGGAGCCGTGGCAACGGTTGGGCAGAGGGGAGGAGAGAGGGCAGTGGGCTTTGCAGGTGAGGCAGACGCAGCTTCCCTCCCTCTGGGTGGCCGAGAGCTGCCTCACAGTCTCTGCTTCCCCCTAGACCACAGGCACTGGCCGTGCGGCTGGGTTGCGGGCCGTGTGCTGAGGAGCAGGCCTTCCTGAGCAGGAGGAAGCAGGTGGTAGCCGCGGCCCTGAAGCAGGCCCTGCAGCTGGACAGAGACCTGCATGAGGACGAGGTCAGGGCCTGGTTGGGTGGGCAGGCCATCCCCAGGCTTGCTCAAGCCTAGAGTCCTGTGCTGGTCACTGGAACTGGTTGCATCATAACCAGAACCTGTTCTTGCCGAGTGTCCCTTTCACTTGATGTTAGCAGGGGGTTGATCCTGGCAGAGGGTTGCACGAGGCACTCGGAGCTTACAGATGGGAACTTCCCCACTGGGCTCGCGTTTCTTTTTGTTTCTTGGTCCTCGGTGTGGCCCAGGTTTCGAGACTGGGCCTAGCCTGACCAATGAGTGAGACAGGCATGTGATATGAGGACTGTCTGCTGGCCCAGGTGGTCCCAGGCGTTCAGGTCAGCCTGGGTCATCTCCTAGGGGAATGACTGCTCCTTGTACAAGAAGGGGAAATGGCTATTTGGGAGATTTTGGTCCCAAGACCTCTGATCAGATCTTGACCGGCTTTAGAGAGCTCAAGGGCCACTTGACTTCCTGCCTTCTCTTCCCGTGGCTTGGCCTTCTCCTCTCCTAGGGCCGCTCTAAGCCTGGCAGTCCTCTCTTCCAGATCCCAGTGGTAGCTGTTACGGCCACTGGTGGTGGGTTCCGGGCAATGACTTCCCTGTACGGGCATCTGGCCGGCCTGAAGGAGCTGGGCCTCTTGGATTGCATCTCCTACATCACAGGGACCTCGGGCTCCACCTGGTGAGCTGGAGGCAGGTTGAATGCTGGGGCTAGTTGGGTGGTGGCGGAGGTGCCAGTGGTAAGGCTCTCCTGGGCCTCCGAGCAAACTGTGAGGGCTGAGGAATGCATGTGCCAGGGAGAAATGTGCTCAAGAGGATCCTTGAAGGTCCCCGCCAGGCTGTTGTCCTAGAAGAGAAAGTCTAAGGCATGTGAGGTCTGGATGGGGTCCTTAAATGACAACTCCCCTGGCTTTCGCTTTTCCCAGGGCCTTGGCCAACCTCTACGAGGACCCAGAGTGGTCCCAGAAGGACCTGGCAGGGCCCACTGAGTTGCTGAAGACCCAGGTGACCAAGAGCAAGCTGGGGGTGCTGGCCCCGAGCCAGCTTCGGCAGTACCAGCAGGAGCTGGCCGAACGTGCCCGGCTGGGCCACCCTTCCTGCTTCACCAGCCTGTGGGCCCTCATCAATGAGGCGCTGCTGCACGATGAGGTGTGGAGGGGTGCGGGCCAGGGCGAGGGCTGGAGATGGGGGTGGGACTGCGGAGCAGGGGTGGGAAGGCTCCAGTCACCAGGCTTTAGGTTCCAATCATCTTTTCCCCAGCCGCATGACTACAAACTCTCCGATCAGCGGGAGGCCCTGAGTCGTGGCCAGAACCCTCTGCCCATCTACTGTGCCCTCAACACCAAGAGGCAGAGCCTGACCACCTTTGAATTTGGGGGTGAGTGCCCCCAGAGCTGAAGCTGTGCTCTCCTGGTTGGTGGGCAAGGGGCAACTGGGCCTGTGTGTAGGAGGTGGATGTTACCCCCACTTCTCCTGGACCAGGTCCCATGGGTTCCAGAGACTCTCATCTTGTCAGGGTCCCTCAGGCCTTTGGTCCCATTCTTGAAGTCCCAGCGACAAGGCCTGAGCCTTCTGGTCCCTAGGCAGCCCTGAAGCAAAGCGTCTGGTGGGTGTGTTTGTGCCCGATGGCTCTGGGCCCCAGGCTGAGGTGTGTGGCTTCCTCACAGAGTGGGTCGAGTTCTCCCCCTACGAGGTTGGCTTCCCCAAGTACGGGGCCTTCATCCCCTCTGAGCTCTTTGGCTCTGAGTTCTTCATGGGGCGGCTGATGAAGAGGCTCCCTGAGTCCCGCATCTGCTTTTTGGAAGGTGAGGAGCATCTAGAAGGTGGGAGGAGCTGGGCAGGGCTGGGGAACGGGCATGGGTGAGAGGGCAGACCTCGACCTTCCCAGCTCAATAACCAGTCAGGATAGGCCATAGGGAAGGGTTGGGTTGTGATAGGGCCGTGGGGGCTTCTCTTCCCCAAATATCAACCTTTCAGGTATCTGGAGCAACCTGTATGCAGCCAGCCTTCAGGACAGCTTATACTGGGCCTCAGAGCCCAGCCAGTTCTGGGACCGCTGGGCGAAGAATCGGACCAGCCTGGGTAGGCGTTTGGCCACTCTCGTGAGAGTGCAAAGGGGCAGCCAGTTGGGGGTGTGTTGCGGGGTTGGTGAGGGTGGCTCTCAGGCGTTTGTGGGTCTCAACTGTTCGCCTTTCAGGGTCACCACAGAGGCTGAGATAAAGTCCAGGGGTCCCCATTTCCCCATCATCCTTTCTGTGCAGACAAGGAACGGGTCCCCCTTCTGAAGGTAGAAGAGCCACCCACAACAGCCGGCAGGATAGCTGACTTTTTCACTGACCTTCTCACGAAGCGCCCACTTGCCCAGGCCACCCACAATTTCCTGCATGGCCTCCATTTCCACAATGACTATTTCCAGCATCCTCACTTCTCCACCTGGAAAGGTATCTGCTTCTCTCCGAAGTCCCTGGCCACCTGGGCTGCGAGTCTCCAGTCCAGACGTCCCCACTGTCAGCTCCCATCCCCTCTCCTCGGCACCAGCCCCTTGAGCTCGGTTGTCTGAACTGCTTGGAATAGGAGCTCCTTCTCTCTCTCCTTGTGTTGGGGACACAGGGCCCACTGCAGGGCTTCGGGTGGTGGGGGTGCTATTTTGTCAGGAGTAAGCAGGGGCCGAAGGGGGGCAGAGTCTCCTCCTACCAGCAGTAGGAAATCGCCGTTAGCCTGGAGGGGTCTGAGGCTTTCTGTATCCATGACAGTTGCTCCTCCCACCCCATCCCCAACCTTTCCAGCCACCAAACTGGATGGGCTCCCCAACCAGCTGACACCTGCGGAGCCCCACCTTTGCCTGCTGGATGTCGGCTACTTTGTCAACACCAGCTGCCCGCCCCTCCTGCACCCTACTCGGGACGTGGACCTCATCCTGTCGCTGGACTACAACCTCCATGGAGCCTTTCAGGTTGGAAAGGGGGTGGGCGGGACCTCCCGTAGGACAGGTGGGATGTTGGGACAGGCACGGGAGGTGGTGGGTGACCCTGGCCCAGCTTCCTTTAGGAGCTGTGACAGTGATACTATGTGAATGGAACGCTGGGGAACTTATTCCACTCGGGAAGTTGGGAGTGGTGGGAAGCTGTGACGTTTTCTTGCGCATTTTGTATTTGGGTCCCCTCTGCTGTACCCACCCCCTGTAAGGTCCTGGACTTCTGGGACCCACCTGCCAGGAGTTTCTGTGTCCTGGCCTCCCAATTGCGTAACTGGAGCCGAAAGTCCTGTGTCTTAGTGGATCTCCACATTCAGTCAGCCCTGTGTTGAGGACGCTAGGGGCCTGTGGGCTTGTCCCTCTGATGCCACTTCTGCCCACCCTGCAGCAGCTGCAGCTCCTGGGCCAGTTCTGCCAGGAGCAGGGGATCCCCTTCCCGCCCATCTCACCCAGCCCAGAAGAGCAGCAGCAGCCGGGGGAGTGCCACACCTTCTCCGACCCCGCCCGCCCCGAGGCCCCTGTGGTGCTGCACTTCCCGCTGGTCAACGACTCCTTCCGGGAACACTCGGCCCCTGGTGAGCCTCCGTCCACCTCCTGGTGTCCTGGCCCCTCACGCCACTCCATAGGTGGCCCCATGCCTTGTCCTCTCTCCACAGGGGTCCGGCGGACACCTGAGGAGGTGGCAGCTGGGGAGGTGAACCTGTCTTCGTCCGACTCCCCCTATCACTACACGAAGGTGACCTACAGCCAGGAGGACATGGACAAGCTGTTGTGCCTGACGCATTACAACATCTGCAACAACCGGGAGCGGCTGCTAGAGGCCCTGCGCCAGGCTGTGCAGCGGAGGCAGCGGCGCAGGCGCGAGTGACCGCGTAGGGGAGGCCTCCTGGCCCCCACCACCCTTGCCTCTTTCAGGCTCATTCCCCACCATCTCCAAGTGTCCCAGAGCCTCTGGGGGCCTAAGGTGGCCCAGTCACAGCACCACCGAGTGTGTGCCCAGAACTGTGGCGCTGAGGGTAGCAGTGGGAATGAGGAGGCTGGAGCCCAGGGCAGGACTGACCTCGTTTATACAAGCACTCAGTGGCCTGTGACTGCCTTGCCTTCTGTGCCACTTTGAACAGTGTACACGACAGAGACTCATCAACTGGGAGGCACCGAGAACATCTGTCATTATTGCAGAGAAGGGGCCATGTCATTCTAGGCTCTCGGTTGTACAATGCAAGGGCTGGTTTAAAAAAAACAAAACGACAGAACGCCTCCCCAGGTACCTTACAGAGCTAGCTCATCAGGGTGGGCTTCCCCCAGCAGCAGGGCATCTGCTCACGGACACCCCTTCCCAGCAGGGAAGAGGCCAGGTTGGCTTGGGGGAGGGGTCTCTGCTGCTGTAGACCTGGCCTTGCCTACCTGTCCTCTTCACCCAGGCAGGGACGTCATGGTGAGGCCAGGGATTCAGTCAGAAGGCCTCTTCCTGCCACATGGTAGGTGTACCCAGACTTGGGACCAGATGTGCCCAAGACAGAGACCAGTGGCAACGGTGTAGCTTTAGCAGGCTGTGACTTTGTGGGGCCGGGCCTGGCTTTTGGCAGAGCCTGGATCTGAGCATGAAGGAGAAAGACGCCCTTGTGCCTCTAGCTGAGTCTCATTCTGGTTCCCTAGAAGTGTCCTCACTTGTATCTGCCTTGAGGTTCTCGTCCTGGCCCAGACCTGTTGGGAAAACAGGAAAGCAGAACACATTCAGGGGCTGGCCACCCCAGAATCTTCTCCAAACACTGGTGCCCCAGCCCTTTGGCCTCCCCTGGAACCACTCACCTTCTAGAATAAATGTGAGAAACAGGCGAATGGGACATAATTGCCTTGATTTTCACAGCCTGCCTCACTACAGCTGTCAGCCCTGACCTGGCAACTCTCAGGTGCTGCCCTGGGCACGTGGCTACGCAGAAGTGACTGTCCTGGGAGCCTCGGGAGCCATTGCGTCTAGGACAAGGCCTGTCTCTTCAGCAACACATTGGAGTCATAAATTGGAGCCCTGGGGAGTGGATGACTGTGCCAAGGCCATGGTTATGGTGGCCGCCTGTCATGGCATGAGAGCCTTCCAGGCACGCGGCTGCGTGTGTGAGATCCCAAGGTTCACCCCAGGCTTGGCGGCCCATGCCTGGAGGATGTGCCCATACCCTGTTTCCAGTCCCTCCCCATTTTCATCTAACCCCAGGTGTCCCATCTTCTGGAGGGCCAATGCCTGCTGGCTTGGAGGTGGGTGAAGGGGTTGAGCAGCTGAACTGACACCAGAATCTACAGGAAGAGGCTGAGGACCCAAATAAGAGCCATTTGCTCCTAAACCTCCACCTGTGCCTGCCCTTGTCCCTGGTCTGCGATCCCAAGGACATGCTGACTCCTAGACCCTCCCTCTTCATCCCCTCGGGGCTGGGAGAGCAGAGGCCAGGCAGAGACGGGTGTGAGCAGGGTGGACAAGGGGTCTGGCTGCCAGGCAAACACGTGCTCTGGCTTGCAGAGGGCAGAGTTTGAAAGGAGACTGAAAATTGAGGTGTGCAGGGGTTGGGCAGACAAATCCAGCAAGCTTCCCAGTGATGTGCAGAGGGAAACCGGGGACACCCTCAGCACAGGGCTGGCCAGAGCAGGCAACGCGCTGAGAGCCCTGCGAGGCTCCAACTGCGCGCCCATCATCTACAGGGTCTCCCCCTGTGGCGAGGGTGTGGAGAAATACCAGGGAGGGGACAGCTGTCGAGTCTTTGGGGAAAGGAGCCTCGTGGCCTGGACTCCGTGTCACAGTGGAGAGTGAGTGAGGCTTTGCACCCAGAGCAGAGTGTCAGGGCTTCCCGTTTCCCAGGGGTGGCCGAGGGTCTCAAATGTCTGGGTTTCCCCACACCCCAGTAGAGTAGGTCTGAGTCCAGGACCTTGGGCTTTAGAGGGTAGTGCTTGTGCCAGTCACTGAAACTCGGGGCTCCCCACCCAGGTGTCCTACCTGAGCAGGGCAGCTGTGCTGGGCGACTCCTCAGCCGGAAAGCCAGCTGGTCTGGCTTTGAGTTCGGGGCTCAGACTCTGGGCTGCAGAGCAAGGAAGAAGTGTCAGCCCTAGCCCAGACGGGCCACGTGCGGCCGCTGTCTCTCGGCATGCTCCTTCCACCTGCTTCTGGGGGCTCGGCATGGCCCTGGGGACTCTGTCCCCGTCACACCTTGCCCGTGAAGGCGGGTTTCCCCACACACCCGGCCTCAGATGAGCTAAGACAGGCTCAGCCTGAGGGTGGAGGGGAGGGACCCTTAAATGCTGAAAAGACTCAGGATCCCTTTGGGCTTCTGGAAAGATCGAGTCTTGGGGGAGAGCCCAGGGAAACAGACATAGGAGTGGACTAGGATCCCAGAGACTGCAAGGACCCCCCAGCAGCCCCCAGGACATTCCTAACACACTGTCCCCACACGGAGCCCTGGCAGACCACAGGATGCAGGGAGAAAGTGGTCTGGGGGTGTTTCCATGTGCTCCTCCTGGTAGAACCCAGCATGGCCACTGTCCTCGAGACAACTTGAGGGAGGGGCAGAGGTGTCTGAGGATTGGAAGATTAGAGAGGCCCCCGGATCAGACAGAGCAGGGCCTGGAAAGCCCTTGGAAGAGAGGCCATGAGGACCCTGGCAGGAAGGGCTTGACATGGGAGACTCCACAGAGGGCACCCCAGGGGAGGGGAAACCAAGACTGTCCCTACTTCTGCTGCTAATAGCTGTGTGATCTTGGGCAAGTTGTTTAACCTCTCTGGGCCTTAAATCATCTGAGAAAAGACAGTTAAGTTCCACTTCTCAGGGGTTGGAGATACTAGATGTGAAATGTCCCAGGGAGGCACATAACACCAGTGGCACAGGGAGCCTGGGGCCCAATCAGCACCCACCACCCGTTCCTCCCTGCAGCCCACCTGCGGCGCTGCTCAGGGCTGGCTGCCGGCTCGCAGCCTGCTCTTCAGACAGTGCTGCATGCAGGCTCTCCGCCCTGCTGCTCAGCCTGGAACCCAGACAGCCGTGGGTCAAACTCTCCGCCTCCACTTTGGGGACCTGCCTCTCCCTCCTCCCCCATCAGTGTCCAGGAGGCCGCGCCTGCCTGCCTGCGCCACTCTCTTCCCTCACCTGAGGGAGGAAGCGCGTTTCCTGCCGTGGTGGTCCCTCAGCCTCTCACACTGGGCTCCCGTGAGGTCAAGGGTGGCCGTGGTAGCTGCTTTCTGAGGACAGACGGGGCAGGGGTCACTGTGGCCAGTTCAGCTTTTCCCCATGGGGCTCTGTCCCCTGACCCCTTTGCCTATCTCCAGCCCCCCGAAGTCTGCGTCTGTGCACTCCCATGCTGTCTGGCACCTCCGCTGGCCCAGGGAGCTGCCCCTCACGGTCCCATAATAGCTGTCCCAGGAGCTCCAGCTGGGCTGTGGGGACAGGGCGGTGAGGCTGCTCCAGCCACACGCAGGGGAGAGACTAGAGCCTGGTCACAGCCTGGCCATGTGTCTCCAGAGCCTCCCAGGGAAAGCACTGGATGGGGCCAAAGTCCCCAGGGGGAAGAGGGAGGCAGGGAGGGACTCTGATAAGGAAACCAAGGCAGGGAGGAAGAACAGGAGTAGGGAGAGGAGCCCCGGCGCTCCGGCGTGGGGGCAGAAGCTGTGAAGTCACCCTCAGGAGCCAACTGCCCTGAGAGCAGGAGGGAGTCTACCCAAGTCCCCAATGCTGGGGTGCCAGCCCAGATGGCCACTCTGAGCCGCCCGAGTGGATCTGCAAGGGGGAGCTGCCTGGAGATGAGGGTCTCCCGGCACTTACCTGCCTCCCCTCAGACTGGAGCTGCTGCTTAAGCTCCAAAAACCCCTCCACAATGGGGACATCCTTTGCATCCTGAAAATACATAAGAAAGTCTCAGGACCAGCACAAGGGACGCCCCCTCCGGAAGGTGGGCTAGGCACCACCTCCCCCTGACTGTATTCCTAACGACCCTCAGTGCCTCTCACCCCACAGCCCCGGCCCCGCTGGGCTCCGTGCCCAGCTGCATGCTCCAGGCAGATGGTGGCCAAGGTTGTGTGTGCAGTCTGATGGGGACACCTGGCTGCAGGTCCCTTGTCTCAGCCAGCTGCACTCCTGGCCCCAAGTGTCCTGAGGGCCTCCACTGAAAGGGTGGCAGCTGGCTGCCAACTCTCCCACGTGTCCACCCCTGCACCTGCAGCAGCAGCTTCTGTTCCATCTTGGGGGCCAAGGTGAGCCAGGTGATGGCAGACTGGCCGTTACCTGGGCAGTGGGACCCAGCCTCTCCTCCCCAAAGCCCTCCCAACTGAGAGAGTGGCCATCTCTCCTCACTGTTCTTCATCTCTCCCTGTTTCAGCTCAGGGACTCCCTTCGTGTCCCCGCCCGCAGTGGTGCCCTCCCCCACTGTGGCAGCTGGCAGAGAAAGGACGGGGCTCTCCTGGAGGGTGAGCCCTGAGGGAGGGTCGGGGACCCTGACCTGCAGGCTGAGAGGCCCGTTCCCACCCTCCAGCCCTTAGCCCCTCTCTCTGGGGTGTGCCCCTTCCCTCCCCCCACCCCCGCCCCAGCACCCCTCACCTCCGTCCTCTGTGGTAGCCGGGCAAACTTCTCCTCCTGGGCAGCCAGCAGCTTCTCCAAGTCCTGGTGTCTGCGGAGCAGCAGCTCCACATCCGACACTGAGTGCTGGGGAGCAGAAGTCAGGGTGAGGCCCAGCTTGTGGGGGGGCCGAGAGCCTTCCCTCACCCTCTGCAGCCCAGCCTGGGGGCCAGTGAGCAGAGGGGCAGCGGGCTGTGCTCCGGGCCCTGGTGGCCAGCCAAAGGGCAGGCCCCACTCACCCCACAGCCGGGCTCCAGGAGGAGGCCTTCCCGGGAGGCCAGCCAGGCCTCGGCCTGCTCCAGCCCCTGGCGCAGCGTCTGCAGGCCCCAGCTCTCCTTGCAGTGTTGCTGGCGCAGGGCCCAGGCCTCCTCGAGCTCCTGCAGCTGCCCTTCCAGCTCCTGTAGACACTCTGTCACCTGGCAGGGAGGCACCGCTGCCAGTGAGAGCTTGTGCAGAGCAGGGCCGGGTAGCCCCGTGGAGGCACAGAGGGAAGGCCTGGAGGCCTGGGCCTCCCTCTCCTGGCCTCTCTCTCCACCCTTGCCCAGCCTTCCTGTCCTGGCAGTTCCCGTGCCTGCTGGGGGTTCTGAGGCTTGGGCAACCGGGGTCCATCCCCAGCTCAACCCCAGGCCCACACCAGTGCTCACACCTCTGGGGACATGAAGTGGCCGCTGTCCACCAGCTGCTGCCCTTCCTGCAGCACGTCCTGGGCTTGAAGGCAGAGCTCCCTGACGGCTCGCCCCAGCTCTTCGTGCCGCCCAAGGAGCTGCTCAGCCCCCGCCACATCCCGGGCCAGCTCCTCAGAGGACGCCAGTGCCTGTCTCTCCCGAGCCCACGCTCTGCGGGGCAGGGAGAGGAGCCACTGTCAGGGCTGCGGGGCAGCCTGGGGAGCAAGGGCAGAGCAGAGCAGAGCGAGCCCACCGCCGGGGCAGGACACCTACAGCAGCTCCTGGCAGCGCCCAAGGAAGGCATGGCCCTGCGCAGCCTGTGCCAGCCGCTGGCCCCGCTCCTGGGCCTTTGCCTCCAGGGTGGCCCAGGCCTCCTCCACCTTGGCCAGCCGCTCTGCCAGGCCCCCCTGAGCCGCAGACTGCAGCTGGCCCAGTCGGCAGGCCTCCGTCTGCACCCGTGCCACCTCCTTCTCCATGGCCGCCAGCTCCCTCTGCAGCCAGAACACAAGATCAGGCCTCAGTCTCCCCACCAGCCAGACGCGTGCTCCCCACTCAGGAGATCCCAGGCCTCTGAGGAGCCACCCCCGCT